TGAATAAACAGCAAATACATAGCATTAGGTCATGACATACAACACAATTTTGCTTAAATCACATAACATATTTTATTAAAGGCTCACTAGTCAGAGAATGGGGAACATTCAGTGCTAAACTGTCTGTGCAAAGAAACTGAAACTAGTGTAAGGATTTGTACTAATCATCTGCAAATTTTATTTGGAACTTGATCCTGCAGCCCTTATTCACAAGATCAGACCCATTGAGTTTATTCACATGAGCTTCGGCTGCAAGATTGGACCTTAAGTACTATCAGGTGCACGTGCAGCCTATCATCAGATTTTGGGTTATTCATGTAAGAAGCTACCCTTTCAAATGCAGACTACTTAATGCTTCCTTCTTCATTAACTTACATGTCCTCTTCTGCTGCTCTATGCTTTCATTTGTGCTATGTAAATAGCTTCTTTCTATCAGCCATCCAAACAAATAATGCTCTTTGCAACCAAGGAGGAAATTAGTAGCAGGTGAAGGCTTATTTTTTAAATTGTGTTGAGACCAAGCTGTTCTTGAACTTAAAGAGAATCTGGAGGAGGAAAAAAAAATACTCCTTAGCAATCTTAATTATGGATTGTCATTGTCATAATTTCACATACTTATTTTTTCACACACATATAGTAACCTTGATGGCTAATCTGCTTTATGATGCACTGGACCTAAAATTATAAACATACTTTTAAAGCATATTATTTGGTGGACCAACATTTCTCTGCTAATCTGCTAATATAAAATTAACTGTACCTTATCAAACATGAAACACAAGTAATTTTTGACTTTACTGCTTTATTTTCCATACCTGTTCTACCTAAATAGGAGGTATTTGCTTATACTACGGTGTGGTAATTGCAATTAAAAAGCAACCACAATTCATCTGCTTATGCATTTGTGTAGTTCACAAAGGCAGCAGTCGCAAGTGATGCCATGTAATAGTCCTCGGACAGGACCACAGCAGGACCATTTGACCCATGGTCCACATCACAATTTGTGTATTTACATGTCCTTTTTCACTGTCCGAAAGACACAGGTAGTCAAGGAAGTTGGCAGTGCAAGTAAAACACTATACATTAGTGATAGCACTAAGCACATGTTAAATGGCCTCCAAGCAATCCCCAAATTGTAATTCCCCAAGGGCGAGAACTGAAACGCACAAAGGGTAAACCCTGACTGACTTCTAATGCTAGAGATACTCTGGTTCTTGAAACCCCCCTAGAAGCAGAATACCAACATCCTTCTCAAACGAAGTGGTTTCATCAACACAACTGGTATGGCCAGCAAGATACAAGGTGGTATCCCAGAAGATTTTAGCAGCATCTCTTCTCTAGTAACAGCTAATTCTGCAGTCATGAACGACCAGGGACTGAAGATGACTTGGCAATTTCAATAGCCACGAGACCAATACCAAGTGCAGCACAAACACTGCACACAGACATGTAGCTGAAGTGCAAGGAGATCTTCCACAAAAGCCTATTCACATCTAATCCAGAACCCAAATCTCCCGACTCCTGTCTCCTCCCACCCCCCAAAAACCATAATTATGCACCTGAAATAACAGCTCAAAGAATGGAGAATAAAGAGATATAAGTGGAGACATGGATGAATGGCTGAAATTTCCAGACAGATTTACGGCAGAACTACACAGATAGCCTCACAGAGCGAACTTCACATTTTCGCATCAATTAACTGCAAAAAATCATGGCTTACCAAATGCAAACTTATTCCTGCTCCCAGAGGGAACAACAGGCCAGAGCGCGCATTCCTTAAAATCAGTAAAATCCAATGAAAGCAGCCTGCAATGTGTTTGCTCAGTAAAAACAAATACCTCAGGCAGGATGGGTAAATCCCCTTTAAAATTAGAGAGTCAGTATGTAAAACCTGAACTAACTTTATAAAGAATTGCCACACTGAATATAGAAAATCCTTGGACCAACAATACCAGTCTAGCTGCTACTTCTTCTCAGTATATGCTAAGCTACATAAAAAAATCCATAAATACATCCTAAAGCCAGATAATAATGGTTCAAAGCTGAAGATACAAAGCAACGTCTTACTATGTCATTTCATGAATTATAACAGCTATTAGTCTCACCCTAGACTACAAAATGTTTAATGAGAGGGTAATGTATTTCTCGAATACTGTTCAACACCTATATAAATGACCCACCAGCTCATTGCACAGAAGTAGTCTTGTCTATGTAAATAGCTGACAGATCACTGCCCAAACCAAGGGCCTTGTCCAGCAGCGTCCCCTAAGCTCATTCCTTGCCACACACGAGACTGTGGCATACACACGTGGCCTGCTGAGAGACTTGTGCAATGTCAAACACCTAGCAAAGGCAGCTGACGAAAACGCAGGTGAGTTTCTTTTTTGTCTGGAAACACCAAACCAATAAACAGCTTGGAAAAACTCACCTTCCGTCAGAATCCTGACCTCAACCCTTCCAATATAAAAACAGTGCGTATTTGCAAAGATCACTCAAACCACAACCAGAAGAGTGACTGTAAGGAAGGCAAAATGCACATGACAGATCACAGATGTCAGGCACCCACCCTGTGAACATACCCCACCCCCTGACTAGAGTGAAATCTCAAAAAGTCTTTCATATTATATGGGCTGAAAATGTGGCAGTCACAGCTCAGACGCACAGAGTGAAGAATTTGATGATGTTGTCAAACACCTACCTGAAGGTGTGGCAGGAGATCAGCCCACATGGAGACACATGAATTTTAAGTGACTTGCAGAGCACACAATTATATTTGGAAAATGAGGCTATTCACAACACATGCAAAAGTCTGCACGCAAAGAGCACGGAATAGGTGCCAATCTGTGCTCTGCTGGCAGAAATGCATGATGCCAAGTAAGGCCCCTTGGAGGCCCCAGAGGGTCAGTATGAGCTTTTCATGACAGATGCACAAACAGAAAGGCTGCTTCCACCTCAAAGTCTCTTGAGGAGCCATAGCAAGAAAGTGGGAGACAGAGTTATCCCGACTCATGTTATCCCTGGAGGATCCAGGGGCTTTAACACACAAGCTGAACACAAAAGGTAAGACCTTGCCTGACTGACATCCACAATGGATTTTGCAAGAACGTGGATTATTCAATGAACTATTCTTTGAGAATAGAAATTCTTTGCAAAACAACAGAGCATGTGTATTTAAGAGGGCATTTGTATATGTAAGAATGCACGGACGAACTTCTTGAGGAGGAACTTCTTTACTGTGAGGGTGACGGAGCAGTGGAACAGGCTGCCCAGGGAGGCTGTGGAGTCTCCTTCTCTGGAGGTCTTCAAAACCCGCCTGGATGCCACCCTGTGCCACATGCTGTAGGTGTGCCTGCTTGAGCAGGAAGGTTGGACTAGATGATCTCTAGAGGTCCCTTCCAACCTTGAATATTCTGTGAATATTCTGTGAATGTATGCATAGAGCACTTAAAAGCTTTGCAGTATTAAGTGTATAGTATTGAAGTGTACACATGTGAACCTTGGATTATGCTTTCCTCTTCCAGTCTATTCCTCTCCACAGGAGGAAATTTCTACTTCTCCTACTTGCATGTAATTCATCCTGATACCCAAACTCCTGTTTGGGGAAATTTCTCAGATTAGGCTTCATTCACCTACTAGGGCTGAAGAGAAAATGGAGGGTTTTTTATGTTATTCAGGCAACTGGATATAGATTTGTGATGTGCACTCTTCTCTTGATCGTACATTCTCAATAAAATATCCCAGAGACCATCCTCTTATAACTAGAAAAAGCTATGTAATGATATATTTCTTCAGCTTCAATAAATATACCCTTGGAGCCAACAGAAAACACACACAGCCATTTAGTAATAAATCTAAGGATATTCTTAGCTACCTATCCAAAAATTATTCAAGATGTCTTATATTTTGAAATAGTTCAGAACTGGGCTTTATTTTGGACATTTAATTGCTTTTACTTTTTAGTAGAAAAGAATTCAAAGATTAAGTGTCCAGTACACGAACAATCAAACATATTTCTGACTAGCCCAAAGTAACAGAAAGAGGAAATGGGGAGTGAAGCTATTCAAATGTGTTGAAATGTGTTTAACCCTTACTAAACCACCACCACTAATGAAACAAGACAAGTCAAGAGGCAGAGGCATTTTGCAAGGGCTTCTCCAAGGACGTGCCACAACGTTTCCAAAGAAAAATCACTGGACGACAACCCTAAGGAAAAGGCTCCAGTTTGTGCAAGTGAACAAGGTATCCCCTTCCACGGCCTCCGAGGCCACGGTGGCTTTGGCAGCACTGGGACCTCCAGCAGTCACTGTGCTCAAACTGCTCCTTCTGTCGGGCAGGGGAGGTTATGGCACCTAGGCAAGGGGCACCTAAGCACACCCTGTACTCACTGAGATGCTATCCCCCTCATTCTGTCATACCAAGCTACAAAAAAAGCACAGTATTGAAATTGGAGTCACCTCCACAAACGAAAGAAACTACATCCCCAGTAGTCACTACTTGCTATCTCTATAGGAAGTCAAAGGAAATACCAGTAACATTCAAATATCTAATCAACCATCAAATAGATGATTATCAGTCTAATTGCTTCTGTTATTCACTGGAGGCTTGAGGAGAAATCAGTGAGCCCAGCCAGTATATGTACCTTTAGCTAGAAAGTAAAACTCTACAGGGCTTCTCCACGCACTGCTTAGCCCTGAGGGCAAGAAAATTATGGAAAACACTACACAGCAGAATTTTTCCAATTTGTGTAGCTACATTTTCTACTCTTTTAAATACTGAAGAAAGTCAAAGCATAGTCTAAAGTTCATTCTAAACTATACAGTAAATAATGTAAGTTACTGCTGGAGCATTAACATACAACAAAGTCTGAAATACATTTTGTTAAGTGATTGTAATCTCACTACATCTTTCTCAAAATTCATAAAAATAATTATTTTCATTGAGGAACACAAAAAATACTCACAATACTATAAATATATATGCATACACAACAATTCACATACCTCTCCAAGAGCTTCATAGCGTTTTTGGTTCCATCTATGCAAATCTTCACGATAATTAAAAACAAATGGCTCCCCAGTTTTTATATGTCTTAGCTGCCCTTCTATAAAAGAAACAATATGGATACATTTTAATACATTTCTTCATTAAAAGTAGGATGCACCTTACTGCAGAAAATTTCTAATTTCAGGAAAAAAAAAGTCTACGCAAAAAAATTAGGCTATCATCATTTTGCCACCTGTTTTGGTTATATTATCAATTTAAAAGCCAAAACAATTGTATCACACCAACAAAATGCATCCCTCCTCAATGATATACGTGTACTGCAAGATTAAACATAACATTAAATAATGATACTGAAATTACATACAATTATCACATGTCAATCCCTTTTGCAAGAAAGCAATGAGGCCATCACACTCCAGCTACCCACCACCCTATATTCATGGGAAGGGACATTTGAAGAGAATTACGAGTAGAAGAAACTGGGCCAGGGGCTAGGAAAAGAGGAATTTTAGTTTTCTTCAAAATCAACCTATTCACAAAAAAAAAAAAAAGCTTCACATCGAAAGTAAATATTTCATCTCTTAGCACAAAGCAATCAAAAGCTCCTAAATACAGTATTCAAGGAGATTATAATAGCACAAATATAAGCAGAAAGCTTATGCTGGAGCAGAAGCAAAACTCCATTCTATTCTTATTCCCATGCAACCTTGTGCAATTTTCTTCATTTATTGCACTAGTTTAGTAGCAAATTCAACCACCTATGAAGATATGGACTGGGTTAAAATAGAAAGAATAAAATACCAAGCAAGTAAACCACAGAAAATGGGTATATTACCAGCAATATTTCAGTTTATAAAACAAAATGGAAGTTATGATCTCAGAGCATTTTAAAATTGAAATAAATCAGAGAAATATTTAAAAGACATATGATAAGACATAAGACACATAACCGTGCCCTAGAAAACTGAAATGTCTGCATTACAATAGAAAGGTTTCTCAGCAAAACAAGAAATTGCAAACTCAGTTTGCACCTTTTCAGTTCATTTAGATTTTGAAAATTTTTGATGTTTTAAACCAAATATTTTCTGCCTGCAAATATGCTTAGTGGAGATTTTTAGCCAGACCTACCTTACCTCATGGCCAGTGCCCTTTTTCAGCTATTAGCCTCCAAAAGAATATTTCTGCCCAACTTCATATCCCTATCTCAGGTCCCAATATCCTTCTTCTCACAGTTTCAGCACACTCTACACTTAGCTACTACTCCTTAGCTAGTTACTTTTCAAATATGCCAGTTCTTAGCAGAAGAAGTTGCTCTCTCCATAATGATACAGGAGTAAATATTGGGTTTATTTTCAAGACTTTTTTTTGGCTTTCTGGTACCCTTATCTTCTTCGATTCTTTAAATTAGACACAAATCTTTCTTACTTTTTCATAAAAATCCCTATGATTATGACAAAAGAAGACAGGGTAGGCCATTTGAATGAAGCATATAAAAGCAAAATGCAAACCTCTGGCAGCCTACTGGCCAGGAGAGTATATATAAGGTTTTGCTACCTTCTATGGAAATCACTCAGCCTGTGGGGTTAGTGATGGAATTATTCAACAACATCATTCTAAAACATCATTCCTCCAAATTCAAATTTCAGCCCTTTTTTTATCAACCACACATGAACCATTAACTCTGAAGTCAGTAAGGAAGACAGTAGACACTGTGCAGATCTAAAAATAAGGAGCTGAAAAGTGACAGAGCTGAACCCCTCCCATCAAAGAAAGAGCATCACTTTCATGACACTTTTAGTCTCTAAGTACCTTCCTGTGAAAGCCATCAGGGTATTAAAAAGCTAAGTGTTGCATAAATGACTATCATTTAAAGGAAAGCTCTTTTTTTCTTTAAAAGTGGAAGATGTAAGACAGGCAGATTTAGAAACTAAAGTTCCTCTGTTCACAGAAAGGCACTGCAAAGAAGTAGGATTGTAAATGTCCCCATTTGTCCTACAGGCTTCAAACAATCTTGAGAAAGCCACTTCCTGGAGCCTGATAATACTTCAGCTTAGAGGCCTTTTCCTGTTGTATTTTAACATATATGACTGGAAATTATAAATACTACAAACTCATGTAGTATATAGATTAAGCATGATTGTAGTCATTACAAAAACTCAGCTATTCATGCAAAACCAGGACCTATACCAGAAGACTAAAACACATTACTCATGGTTTCATCAATAAAAACACAGGTATTTTCCTGCGAGTATCAATGAAAAAGCTGCTATAAATTATTATCTGAATAATAATTCCTTCCGTGTATATAAAAATGAGGCACTAAAGTATTATTTAAATAAGTGACTACTCCTTAGCCTTATTTTTTAGTATGACAAAAGAAAAATAACTTCTAACTTCTGTAAAGCAAAACAAGCTGAAAACACTCTAGAAGTACAGACAGTATAAACCTACATTACTGCATAAAGAGGATTTTTTTGGACAATTTTATTGAACCAAAAAATTACTACTTAGATTTTTAAGTCTATTACACTAAGGCTTATAATTTTATTCTTACCAGAAAAATGTGAAATTCTAATAAGGATTTATAAGGTATAATCAAAGTCTGATAACCTCTTAACATTATTCTAAGCACAGTCTTTACAAAGCATATACAACTCACTTTCATTAAAACCATACTCAAATCCTTCCAGAGTATCAGGGAATTCAAGTGGTGGCTCATCTTTTTTCATCAGTTCATCCAAGTCTATTCTAGACAATAGATCTAAAAAAAAAAGGGAAGAAAAATGACACGTTTCATGGTATGCCTGGTGCATTTCACGCTGACAAATGCCTTTATTCGGTTTTCTAGATCTTAATGGCACAAGAACAATCTCTGTAAAAGCAAACAATGGACTGCCTTATGCAGAATCCTGTACCAGATTTAATGACTGCATCTGAACTTCAGTATATCCTGTTTATTGAGCTCTAATTGAGCTCTGAACAAAAAGGGTTCAGTGACAGAGAAGTCACCAAACCATAGCAGTTTGGTTCAATGATTATCACAGAATCACAGAATGTTCAAGGTTGGAAGGGACCTCTAGAGATCATCTAGTCCAACCTTCCTGCTCAAGCAGGCACACCTACAGCATGTGGCACAGGGCGGCATCCAGGCGGGTTTTGAAGACCTCCAGAGAAGGAGACTCCACAACCTCCCCGGGCAGCCTGTTCCACTGCTCTGTCACCCTCACAGTGAAGAAGTTCCTCCTCACCTGGAGACTGAACTTCCTGTGCTCCAGCTTGTGGCCATTTCCCCTTGTTCTATTGCTGGCCACCAATGAAAAGAGCTTGTCCCCTTCCTCCCTGCATTCTCCCTTCCTGAACTTATAATGTTAATCATATTCCCTCTCAGTCTTCTCTTCCCCAGAGATTACCCTCAATCTTATGAGCACATATCTCGTTTCTAGCGTGCAGCACAGTGTTAATATAAATTTGCTACTATTTTACCTAGCCCCCACATCACACCATTGATGCATTCTTGCTTGCCTGCCTAAACAGCTGAGGTTATCAAATGTGTGTTACCTCCCAGGCAGGCACCCGCTGCGACCACAACACTCCTGAACCCTTCCCCTTTGACACCCAAAGAGTCTGAGCTGCTCCCCCTCCTTAATAATTCTCAATTTGCTAAAATTGCCATTCTTTCTACTGTAAGCCATGATACACAGATGCTGTTCAGACTTCCCATCCCTTCAGAGTTGGGATACCCTAGTGCTGCCTGTGTTCACCAGTGTGAGTACACCAACATAAGTGCATCCGGCAGTATTCATTCCTAGATTTCAGGATTTACATTTAACCAGAGGCAAGCATGCAAATATGTTTTGCTTATGTCTCACTACTACTCAGCCATGGTATATACAGACCACAGCTTGTCATCCCGGCCTCTTTTCATTGCTTAACACCAGTGCAATCTGACACTATCCTTTTATCGTATTTCCTAATTATTACAATTACATTATTAACAACAACTCAACACAAAATGTTTCAGCAAGACTCTACTGAAACACATTTTAGCACTTCCTTGAAGAGTAATTTGAAGATCACATATCAAAAAAAAATACATATACACACACATTACATAATTAGTGCTACATTGGTCTTGTATTGTTTATAAATCAAGATATGTATTACAAAATTGCCTTAGAAATTCTAAGTATATTGCTTTACCACCTCTGCCACCCATACGGCTGACTCAGGGGAACCAAAACAGCTTTAAAAGGCTCATTTTCTTTAAAGCGGCATTGTTTGGCATAGTTCAGCTCTAACTCCTCTTTCATCCTTCAGTTAAAGGCAATTATTTAAATAAGTTTTTTCTTGTTACGTTTGGGCCTAACCTTGCTTGGCCTTGCTGTCAGTGCCACGCTTACGAGTTACCCAAGCTGCCTAAGCTGAACACTGCTGCACTGACCCTCTGAAATTTCCGCCGTGTTTGAAACCTAATCAGCCTCCACCCTCCTGGCCGCTCCTTGGCTTGTCCTTTCACGGCGCTCCAGGTTCACCTGGCGCTCACTCCAATGCCCATCCGACTCACACTCTCCGGCTCCTTCCTTCCCAAGCCGTTCCACTTGGTAATGCCCAGTGGGTGACCAAAGAGTATCCTGCATGGTTACTCGCACTGAACGTCTCTCCAACCTATGTCACAGTACCCAAGCCTTTCTGTGCTATCTCAATATCCAAAAATAAAACCGCTGGATGCAACTGGGGAATTTCTGGACATGCCTCCTCAGTACTGCTCACTTTCACATCAGCTCTATTCAATAGCAAAGCGCCCTGACATTCAGTTATAATGGTGCTGGTGTGCTAGCCCTTGAAAGTGTTTGGGAAAAACTGCTTTGGTCCTAAGCCGAATAACCAAACAACAGAGGTGGAAGATCTCTCTCAAAGAAGTTTTTGCCAGCAGGATGTTAAAAGCATGTACTTTTCTCTGGCCGACTGTCACAATACCAAAGTGGCCTAAAAGTTTTGGACACTCCTGCCTCTCCTTGGAAAAAAACTCCACTCACTTCTCTAAAATTTAATTTCACTGCAGTTTCCACGTCTTGTTACGGTGACCTAGTGGGAAGTGCATTTACACAAGAGTGTCAGATGCTAGACAATAATGTCTCCCTCTTCCGAGGAGCAAGGACAACACTGTATGAGATGCCCATTTAGTCTGTCCTCGGTATGGGAAGCCACAACCGCATAGTCCATAAAAACGCAACTGTTTCAATGACCCTACCCCTTTCAACTCCCTAACCAGACACTTCCTTCCTTGCTAGGTAATTTTTTCAAGCTGAAATTAGCTCAAGTGTGCTTCTAACTTTGAGATTCTTGTAAGATCTTGTCCCTCATTCTCCCCTAGATATCTTTGAGACTCAAACTCAAATCCAGGCTGCATCATAGCTCAAAATCAAGCGCTTGACAACAGACTTTCTTAATAAGAGTTCACCAAATTAACTGAAGATAATCACATCCTCACATCAAAATTTCATTATAGAGAATGTATCTGAGGTAAGCACTTAAATTCAATGTTTGATTAGCTTACTTGTAGGTCTAGTCAACTCAATATACTTCCAAACTTGAAAACTACTTCCATATTTTTTTTCTGAATAAAATTACTCACTAAGTCACTGAGGTTCCATAATTTTTTAATGTAAAATAAACTAGAAAATTTTAGAAAATCAAGATGAAAATCAATGTCTTGAAAATATTTTTGACACTAACATTCTGTAGTCTGTAGATTTTTGGAAGCTGTCATTTGCTTACACAAATACAAAGCCCAAGTGTCACAAAACTGAAATGCTACCTCACAGAAACTAAGAATACTACTGCATCAGCTAACTTTTTCTAAGGATAATTACAAAAACTATAAAATTAGTGGCTATCTTATTCTGCTACTCCTCATCAATATAAAAAAGGTAGTTTCTTTTTGTATTTTATATATTAAGTATATTTTGTCTTATAAAACTATTGATAAGGGGACAGTATTAGACAAAAAGCATCAAAGTCTCTTTCAGGATCCTAACTCACATCTATATCAAGCTATTTTCCATTCTTAATTTTAATAATTGATTGTTAAATGTCTCATATATATAAAAAAGAAGGCAAAAAGATTCATACCTTTTAATGCAGTAGTCTTTTCTTTTTCATCTGGGCCTCCTTGCTGGAGTTGAGCCATCCTTACCCAAACTGTTAACAAAATCAAAGCACTTAAGTAAATATACATCAGTCTTCAAAGGATGATCTGAAAATGATCAGGAGTAAGAAATTAGGCAAATTTATTGACTTCTACTTCAAAAGTTCCTCGTTACTGCATAGATCACAAAAAAGTACTTGTTTCAAAATCAAAACTTCAAAGTAAAAGCATTATAGCCCTCATCATATGGAATTAAAATTGACTTTTTCTTCTCCATCAAAACCTGCATTGAACGTTCTAAGGTTTCATCACACCACTGTGAATTAAGAGCTTTTGCAACAAAGTAAAACGCGCATTTCTCTGTTGGGCCTGGGCACAGATTCGGGTTCACGAGAACGAAGTCTAGCTTCCACCTAATCCTAGCAGAACTTCTGTCTAATAGATGCTCCTTTGGGCCATTCTTGGGTAAGACTAGGGTGAATATTAGCCTTTCTGGGGCAGTCGCACAGCTCTAAGTCCAATGCAGAAGACATTCCCAAAAGATCCTCCAAAAAACTTCCATAATTCCTGCCCCCCTCCCTTTTCTTTTTTCCTCTTCACTTAACCCCATTTATTATTCTTCCTGGATCATCTAGATTTAGTAAAACTGCAGGGAACAAACTGGTTTAAAGCATTATCCATGTTGAAAGTTTTAAAGAGCAGGTTGATGTGTAGCTACACACAACCCTCAATATATCCAGGATGGGAATCCACAGGCAAAATATACGTCTATTGCATAGAAGGGAGCCCAGAAAATCTAGTCTGGGATCCCTTTCACCTCAAATCTGACACCATGCGAGCCAAGTACCGTAAGAAAAATCGCCACTTCTTCCTTCTCGATGAAGAGGTTTCTATGTCTTGAAACCTTTTGGCCTTCATCCTTTTGGGGCATTTCTCTGTCAGCCACTATCAACTTGTTTCATTCTTCTACCCAATGTATTTTAACCTCAATGACTCTGCATGAACAATATCCCAGTAGCTCCCTGGGATTTACAAGTGAAACAAAGAACCACCAAACAGTTTCTTTTAAGTAACATTGTAGCAGAAGAGACACTTTTTCAAAAATAAAGCAAGATAAAGATATGGTGGGTGATTATTCTCTATTTTACCTAGAGAAAACCAATGAAATCTTATTCCCAAAAAAAAAAAAAAATAGTGACAGCAATTTAAAGGGTTAAGAGCAACTAAGAGAGAGAGAGAGAGAAAAAAAAAAAACTTAAAATTTGAGTTTTGAGACAATCCAAAAAATCCATCATAGAGGGATTGACCCAGGGGAAACTCTGACACCTCCCTTTGCTCTTGTGCACAAAGCTGTTCGGGTGAAGCTGACAGGCAGTGACAGTGCTCTGTCAAGAGCCCATCGCAGCGGGTCACCTCCGGGTTCCTCTGCAACTGCTGCTGGCGCCGCGCACCTTTCAGCTTAACGCGACTCAGTTACAGCGTACGCGTTCTCGCCACTGCTTTCATCTTATTAGCGCTTGTAACAAGAATAATCAACAAAAACAAACAGAGATATTGAGTATCTTCTGGCATGTAACCGGCTAGATATGACTCAAATGCCAATTCACATGCATGGCATTTCCAAAAGGTTTTTCTGAGATGCTTCCGAATAGTTCACAGGCAAAAGCTCACCAAATACGAAAGCCCGGCCTTCCTCAGGACATACATTTACAGCACAGCACATCTATTTCAGTAGAGCATTATAAAGCAAAGTCAAAAACCCACTTAAAGCCGTGTAAAGACACCACTCCTGGGGTTCTGCCACTACAACAGGGAACTGGGTTCATTTGTCGGACGAAGGGCGAAGCCACTGTGGAGATAACTTAGTGGTTCCCCTGCTCTGCTATAGGGTTAAAAAAACCCCTAACTAGCACCATCCCACACTGAAATTCAGCACAGAGAGAGAAAATTTCCAGTCTTTCCTGAAAAAAAAAGTAAAAAACTGTAGCAGCAGCCACTGGAGGGAGGACTTGATATTAGAATGAGGATGAAATAAGTACACAATATCTATGTACTGTTTGCCAGTGCACAGCACTTTGATGAACCCTCCACTGATACTTGTGTAAGTGGAAAATACAAGAAATTAGATGAGAGGGTTGGATTCCCTTGCTTTGACAAGCAGACATTGAATCAACAAGAGTTTGATGGTCCACAAATGAGGAGGGGGGAAATCATAAAGCCCTCCCAATGGTTACTTAAAGGCAATAGCAGGAACTCCTGTTTAACTAAGCTCCAGTTTCAAGCCCTGCCACCTTGAACTCCATACCCTGGCCACTCTCCATACTTTACAGATGCTCATCTTGAAATTGTTCAGATAACTAGGAATGTGTTCCTCTGTGTAATTACTCAGATGATTCTTTGCAGGACAATTTTCCCGTGATTCTTCCCATTACCTCAGGCAAGTCCACATTCTGGAAAAGCCACAGTTCCTGTTTCATCTGCAGAAACACGGCAAGTGAGTAAGTTTACATACAGGCAAGTTATACTTATTTGTATGTATCTTGCAAGATCTGCTATAAAAAACCAATTTGTGTTCGGTGCCTCTTCATCTCCAGTGCCCAGCAATACTGAAAATGATTCTGTACCAAAAATATATTGATTTCTTGATTTCAGTGCTACTAATGCTTTAGTTGATGAAAACCATAGGACAAGGAGAACTGGATTTTCACCATATTCTTGTAAATACAACTGCAGAGCATTGGGTACACAAAGATACAGTCATTTACAACACTATAATAAACAAACTGGGCTTTTATAAACTTAGGAGAATATGCACACCTATTTCATGTTCTGTTTGTAGAGTGGTACTGGAAGTCTGGGCCACAGGGTTAATAGTGCTAGCCTGCAAATCAAACTAGACATCCTATCACATATCTCAACTCAGGCAAATGTACTTGCACACTGATTTATAAAGGAACTTCAATTACTCTTCACTGTACAAATGCAACTGCAGAAGCACCAGGAACTTTAGCATACGATTTTGCTCTACATGATTTCAATTACTGCAATCACGCTCTGTATTGGCTGAACCAAACAACCACAGTAATACCCTTGGGAGCATTTTCTGACTAAGCAGATTTTATCCTGTCATGCTTACTGAGTACTACAGATTACATCAGTAAAAACTATCTCAGTTAAGGTTCTCCTTCCCTTCACTTATATGGCCTGATAGCTTTGCCAAACTTCATCTGCCAGTGCCAGTTGTATCCAGCCTGCCTTAGTCTGCAGGTTTGGGAACAGCTCAGCTGCATCTGCTTCCTTTTCTAAGGAGGGGGTTCACAGGCACCGTATCTTCGGTTCGGATCTGCTGATGTTAACGAGCTCCGAGCTACAGGCATTCATGGCCCCAACTTTGTCAGCAACTGTTGCTTAGGCAGGGCAGAGTAAACACGATTCCACGTGCTGAAATTTTAGTTATTTCTGTTCAACTGATTTGCAGTACTGGAAATAACCTGCATAAATACATGCCTGCAAACATGATCAAATAAATATGTTAAAAGAACACAAAAGCAGGCAGCACAACCTCAAAGAATTTTTCTGCAGTAGCAGAACCCATAACCAAGAATTCTCTCATATCTACTGTCTATTAAGTGTGCATTGAATCCTAATTCTACTAGGACAGTGAAACTAGAAGAATATTCCATAGGAGAACCTTCTTCATTGCAGGCTTTTGAGTGCTCTTATGGAACAACCAAGTCCTACAGAACTTTCTATTCTAAGGTAACTTATTTCTGTATACTCCCCACTTTCCAGGCATTCAACTTGAATGATTTCTGTCTTTCAAACTACAGACCACTGGATCCCTGTTTTAAGGAAATCTATGAAAAACAACTCATAGATCATTCAAGTTCAAGTTCAGTATCCCAAGCCCCCAATTCCCTGATGACATGAGTTTCAACCTGACTCAGTCTCTTCCAAAAGGCCAGAAAGAACCTCCATGCATAGTGTTGGGGAAAATAAATGAATTAATTCTTATAGAAAACCTACATCTTTCATGCAAAGCCTTGTAACAAAAGCTCTTGTAACATTCACTACTGCTATATTCATTGCAAGATCTTCATTGTGCATTGAATTAGTACACAGCACTACATATTAAGTAGTGACGAGAAAAATTTCCTAATTCAGTGAACAGTTGTGTAAAACAGTCTTTGATCACACAACCATATTTCATCACAGTGTATATGACAAGAATAAATAATTGTAGCACAACATTACTTGATAATATAGCTGAAGTTGCCCTGTGATGATCTCTATTGTTTTTGGTGACTTTTTAGAATGATTGCATTAGATGGTTTTAACTTAACAAGATTCTAGCTCAAAAGAGAAGGTGAAAAATACTGATCCTCATCATTGCACACACTGACGAGTTACAAGACAATGCCAGAATTTTTACTCTCCTTTTTTTTTTTTTTTTTGGTCATCTTCTTTCAAGACAGTCCCATAGGTTAACTAGAAGAGGAAAAGCCCTCAAAACACAGGAAAACTGAGCCTTCTCTAAGGAAGACAGTAGTTTACAGGGCAGCTAAAACAGAAGGAGACTAGAAAAGTCTAGGAAAATGCTTAGGCTGCTACCAAAAGCTGCTAAAAAGGGCTATATTCACATGTGTATTTATATATTTATATACACACACGTTATATATATGAACACATATGTGCATGTGTACAAACATATACATATAAGCACTGCAAAAAGCGTAAGTATGTTGTCCACATAGTTCAACACAGTTCATTATTTAAGACCAGCTGGATGATAACATACTGGCACACTCTTTCTTTTATTTTCAAACAATATCATAACTACATTTCTATATAACTACATAACAAGCAGTACCATAATGACATTTTTCCCTCACTGGGTAAATCTTAAAAATTGAAAGTCTTATACTAAAAATATTCCATAATAGTGTAAACCAGTACCTGCATCCGGACTTGCCCAGCTAGCTCTGCTGTTGCTCACCGTGCAACCTTGCGATCTCTGCCCAGGTCCAAGACTGCTAAAAAATGAATCACAGAATAGCCAAGGTTGCAAGGGATTTCTGAAATCATCTTGCCCTACTTTCTGTCAAGAGCAAGGCTTCAGGTGAGGTAAAGCAGGTCCCTGTCAGAAAATGTCCTGAGTATTTCCAGTGAGGGAAAATTCCACCACTTCTATTGGGACCTTAGCCTGATGTTTAATTTTCTTCTATGCATATGTGATTTCCTCTGAAGCGACTTGTGTGCATTTCCCCTTGTCCTGCCCTGGGCACCCTTGTGAAGAGAAGACCTCTTCTCTATAACCACCTTCTAGGTACTGGAGGACTGATTAAATCTCCTGGACCCTTCCTTAGATCGAAGAAATCGCTTCAAGTTAAAACTCCTGCAACTCTTGTTGGCCCAGTCTTCTTGCCCGCATGGTGTATGATGTGTGCTGGGTACTGGTGTGCTCAAACAAATAATGGTAACAATTAATCCATCTACTTTGTTGACACATTTGACTTAGCTGTGAACCCCTACAGAGGAGGAAAATTATCCTCATTCGTTTTTTCAAGCAGAGGCCCCTATATTTCCTTCAGGTACTATTCTCTAAGCTCAGCCACCTTTGCTCAATAGCTTTTCTTCTAGAAAGGAGGAGGAGTCCACCAATTCCTTATAAAAAATATTCAGTCTGACAAGTCAGGCATTGTCTTTTGCAGTTTACTTCCATTTGGACCAGCTCAGGCTTCAGGCACTGGTTGCTATTACTATGCTTTTGTATCCAAAAACAAAAGCTTCTACATATTATTCGCTTGACTAGATGTTACAGTCAAGTCATGTTACACTTTTTTTTTTTTTCTCCTGATAAACAAGAAATTGGAGGCCTTCGTAGAGAAGAACGACAGCTGAAAAAAACTGCGACAACACAGTTCAACCAGAAAGAAGAGTAATTATATGGAAAAGGTAAACAAACCACTGTGTAACTCTACCTTTATGTCACCTTAAAAATCACAGATAAAATAGATAAAATCTAACTCAAATCCAACCCTAAATAGATGAAATGCAATCCAAAAAAACCTATATAAACATAATACATGTCAATTAAGGCGTGTCCATATTAAGGTACTTTGATGCCCTTCCTCTGCTTTAGATGATCACGTTGCTTCCAGAGTCTACATGAAAATTAATGTAAAGCAAAGATATATGATATGCTGTAAGAACCAACACCAGGCTGGTCCAATGTCACATGAGACTACTGAAAACCACATTACAGGCAGCACAAACAGTTTGCCACTCAGCTGATGAGGTTCAAGAAAACCTACAGGCGCTGCAATAACAGTAGCTTAATCCTTATGTAAACAACACTCTGTATTTAAAAATGAGATGAAAGCTAAAAGTAGGGAGTAGGGTAAGGGTAGGGGCATAATTCTTAAAACAGCTAAAAAGGTAATGAGCATAAACTCCACTTCCAAAATTGATTTGAAAATAGGACATGAGTTTTAAACCGACACGCAATATAATATTTATGACAAAGAAACGTTATTCCTATATTCCTGATACAATGTGTCTTGACTAGCAAGGCATTTATATCAAGAGAATCAGGTATAAATCTGATCTAAATAGAGAGAAAGTGGGACAATAGGTTAAAATCCAAAGTGACTAAAAAAGACTGAACTTCAAAATCTGCTATTTCTCAGTCTTCCAAGACTCACTTAAGCAAATGCCTCCATTCCAAAAGGTACAACTTTTGCGTTACTCTCTGAAGCTGCACAAGACACAATGAATATTGGCTTAAGCTGTTTTCATTTGGAAAATGGAAATGCCACAATTTAGAAGACAACAGGAAATATTTTTTGAAGTGCAGGTATCTGAAGTTGCTCAGAGAGACTGTGTAGTCTCCAGCCTTGGAGATATTCAAGATTCGAAATTATGAAAAAAAAAATTTTTTTTAAATCACAGACTGGTTGAGACTCTAGAGATCATCCAGTCCAACCCCCTGCTCCGGCAGGGACACCCAGAGCACGGGGCACAGGGCGGCATCCAGGTGGGTTTGGAAGATCTCCAGAGAAGGAGACTCCACAACCTCCCTGGGCAGCCTGTGCCAGGGCTCCGGCACCCTCACAGGAAAGAAGTTCCCCCTCATATGGAGATGAAATCAAGTTGCAAAATAAATTAATACAAAGAAAGCATGTGCACGTAGAACTAACAAACATGTCTTAGCTGCATCCCAACAAAAGGCTTATAATAAAAGACATGAGAACCCTTATGAGGAGCCTGTGGATGAGCAAGATGGGAGTATTGAGATCTCAGAGGTTTCAGTTTCAGTTCTGCATTCTCAGGAATTCTTTCCAATCCTTCAGTTTGTGTGAAACATCCCAAATTTATCACCATGAAGCTGTCAAAACCATCAGGGCCATAGCCATGACAAATTTGTGAAAGCTGACAACACTGGATATTACTCATTCTGTTGGTAACCATTATTTTTAGTACATTAAAATACCTTGAAGCTGATTAAAAATCACCTTGCAGAGGGTGCATAAAACCTTTTAAAAGCATCTCCATTGTCTTTCCATAGATGGAAGTGTATGTTAAATATAGGTAGCATATATTACAGAGATATTATTTAAAAATTCTGAAATCAAGTCCTCGAGTAGCAGGAAATACCAGAGTTAAGGCTGCTTGCACCATGTACTTCAGCTCCCTTGTGCACACACGGTAAAAGCCAGATGTACACAAATAACAAAGCGGAGAAAATCAAATCAAATAAATCATCTCATTCTCCCCTACTTCTCAAAGTCAGTATCATCTGTATCTAGATATTTGCCCAACAAAGCTTCATCTAAACGTTTTTCTTTTTAATACTAATGCTGAATTCTCTACAACCTCCCTAATGTTATGGCAAACATCGCCAGCTAAGTTCATGCTTGCATCACCTTGAATTTCAACAGACTGACATCCAACCTGTCAAGCCCGCTGCCTCTTGCTCAGCTTCATGCAGCTGGGTTAGGCACGCAGCCTAAACTAGCTGTGCCTAAACCAGCTTACTTGATTTAGTATTTCGTCTTTAAATAGAAACCCATTCCAACGTTAAACCGCCCTTTTCTTTTCCCAATCATAAGGTCGTCTTCTTCAGCCTTTTAAATCTTGACTTATAGACACTGAGAAAGTTTTTGCTTCTTCTCTCTGTAGTATCCTTTCCCATAACTGGGGACTGCTCTCACGTCTGTCTTAATCTCCCTAGTCTGAGCAAACTAGGGCTCTTTCCAACTTTCTACATTATGTTTTTTTTCTCCCCTAGGCTTTTGAGCACTCATCCTCAGACATTCCCAGAAAAAAAACTCACAAACTGGCTCAAAACCTTTCTTAAACATGATGTCAAAACTGACCAAAGAACACCAGCTGAGGCCTGAGCAGCGTGCAGCAAAGCAAAATTATCATGTAACATTTAAATATGGCACTTTTATCTAGGCATCCTAGTAGAATTATTACTTTTTCTTTTTTTTTTTTTTTTTTTGGCAGAAGCACACTATTATTAACACGTTCTGATTATGATTCATCCAAAAATCTGAAATCTCTTTTCTCCCCTAAAACTAATGCTATTTTGTATTTATGGAGGGAAGTATCTAATCTAAGCACAGCACTTTGCATTTGTCCTTTTAAACTGCATTATTTATTTCATGTTGTTTCTCGCTTTCTCTAAGTCTTCTAAAATGCTAAATTTATCCTTTGCAGAACTCAACTCCTCTCTCAGCTGGCTGCTTGCTGTAAAATTAATACGTGTCCTTGCTATACCCCACCATCAGCCAAGCCACTAACCAAGCAAAGACATCATCACATTTGTTCTCTCCCGCTGGGCTTCTTCCTCCGCCGACGCACTGAATGGAGGCGCTCCCCTCCATTAGACAAGGAGCTATCCCTTCTTTTGCCTGACCTATCTGTCTTCAGCTCTAAGCATGACCCTAAAGCTCCTCCTATTCCAAATTTCTCCTCTCACAGAGCTAAGTGCCTCTCATTCTTTCCTTTTTCTCTCACTAGCAACCTGTCCCACTCTGCCTTAGTCCACTCTGAGACCATTCCAGTCTCCTCCCAGCTGTCCTAGTTTGTCCTTTTATCTCAAGAGCTTCAACAGAGACACTGCTGAGTCAAATGCTCATTCCAACCTTCCCGTTCTTCGCTTTCCTCAAGGCACCTGGTCTCATCCTCTGGCTATTACCAAACTAGCAAGGACACTGCTGAGCATTTGGCCAGACCAACATCCATATTCTCCATCCACCCACCAGTCAATCCAAACAACACTGGGTTGCCAGCCAGCACAGAAGCTTAAGCTTATAGCTCAGTGCTAGAACAGGCTTTCTCAGGTGTTCCCAGCAGCTGGTGCACGAGTCCAACCAATGAAAAGGTCAGAGTGTGTTTCATAAAGGTAGGATATTTGGATTTTTTGCTTACCAAAACACAGGTTTCTTAACCAAAACATGGAGGTCCTGTAGCACAGAACCACGTATGCTAGAAGATACCTTTGGAGGCCATCTACTCCAATCTCCTGCTAAAAGCAAGACTAATAAGAGCAAGAACAGTTAGGAACTCATCCAGGCAAGCTTCGAACACATCCAAGGATGGAGATCCCACTCCTACGTTTGATCACCCTCAGAAGTATTTATTTTTAAAGACCATCTCTCAAACCATCCAAATATATTTATCCTGTATCACTACAGAATTCTATATTGTTGTGAGCGGTGCAAGTTAAAACAAGCAATCAGGAACAAGAAATACCACATTATTACACCATGACTCTTTTCTGAGAAGCTTAAATACTGCCAGCACACACCATTCCTGTCAACAGTAGCCTCTAGAGTACTACTGATGTAGAGCTGCTAAGGATTTCTTTTTAACAAAATGTTCTCTGTTTCTACTGGACATCAAGTTGTCAAAGTTGGAACTTCTCACAGGAATGAAAAAAATCAATTTCTGTCCAGCTCAAACCTGGTATTTCAGCTTTCTTTCTCACCCCTCAAAAAATAGCCTAAAACCATTA